GCTTTCTTAAGGAAACTAGAAACAATAACCACAATAGCATAATACTGCATGCCCAGGAAGGAAAACATCCCTCCTGTGGACTGACCTTCCCATTTAACCTTCAGAGGCTCCAGTGAGTTTTAGAGAAAGAAAAAGCTGCTAGGCCTAGTAGCCCAGCCAGCGGCCCCACACAGAGGCAGCTTGCTCTTCCTGCTGTCCAGATGGGGCTGAGCTTTCCAGGGGTGACAGGGAAGAAGCCAAAATGCTCTCCTTGGCATTCTCAACTGTCTCTCTGTCACTACTCAACCTACAGCCTCAACATCCTTGCTGTGTTCAGCATCAGATACCTACCTGCCAGGCTAGGGTAGTTCTTTTCCAAACAGAAAGGCCTGGATTAGGGTGGGTAGAAGTTAAATAAGCCAAATGGAAATGGCTTGAACACCCATTGCTTATGACTTAAAGTCCTCAGAATGCCCTGTCTTTTAGGCAGACCGAGGGTCCCATGCCTGTATATGCAATAACATTAGATATATTTTATTAGATTTATTCCATTTTTATTTGTCTGTGTGTGTCTGTGCACGCTCACACATATGTGCGTGCACATGTACATGTGGGTGCCCTTGGAGGCCAGGAAAGGGTGTTGGATTCCTGTAATGATAAATCTTTACTCCGTCCACCCCAGCCCTGCTGCCACATGGGTGCTTTCCGCCAGGCCACCTGAGTTCCGCCCACAGCCATGTTAAGGTCCCAAGTAACACACAAAGACTTATATTAGTTTACAATGCTTCTGGTCAATTGACTAGGATTTCTTATCTGCTAGCTCAGTCTTAATTATCAACCATAATAATAAGGTTTATCTTATGGAGGATGCTGGCGGTGAGTGCCCTATCTTGCCAGCAGATCACATGGTGGCTCCAGAGAAGAGAGCAGGAGGAAGAACAATAGAAAAGGAATAACTTCCTGTGTTGTCCCTGCTTATATATGAGTCTACCTACTATGTCACTTCCTGCCTGGATCACAACACTTCTTTACTACATTTCCCAAAATCATCCTTGACTCCTAGTCCCACCTAACTTGCTACCTCATTGGCCAAACAGTACTTTATTCAACAATCAATAAGATAAACATACACAGAAGGGCATTCCCCATCAGATTCCCTGGAGCTAAGTTATAGGCAGATGTGAGAGGCCTGACGTGGACACTGGGAACTGAACTCTGGTCCTCTGCAAGAGTAGCAAGTGCTCTTAACCACTGAGCTATCTCTCCTATCTGTAATACTATTATGAATTATTATTTGTGGCACTGGACTAGACATTCTCTGTGTTTAGTACTTTTGGTGTCTGCATACTACTGTATTGGCTAATTGTTTATTTATTTCATGATTACTACACCATTATACACCTTGCTGAATCTAAGATCCTATACAGCTTCAGGAAGAAAATCCACAGACTCTGGACCAAAGGGTCACTTCTAGATAACACACAGATGACTCTCCCCTGCCTCAGCTGGCCTCCAGCTATTGAGAGAAGGGAGGGCCATAACCCTAGGGTTAGGGGCTGCCAAGGCCAGTGGGGTTAAGGAAATAATAGTGGAACAAACAGCCATTCAACCCCAATGTCCAAGCTTCTCAAAGCCTCAGAGGTCAACAATCTGTGGGCCTAAATGATAACCTCTGAGGGTTGTGGAGTGTACGACCTACACACTGAGCAAGAACCCGCTCTTCCTATTTTCTTCAGCTTGGTGTCCTTGGAAGTCCATTGACCTCAGGCATGCTTCAGGCTCCCTCCCCATCTCTGTCTTCCTCCCTACACTGCACCACCAAAACATGGGGCACAGTTGAATGCACTGCTAGTGAGCACCAGGACATGTCTAGTGGTTAGGCTCTGGCCTCTCTCGAGTAATTTAGCAATAAAATGTGGTGGTGGAGGGTGCTTAGTCCTTAAGCTAAGAACTCTGCCCACCACCAGCAATTAACCTTACAGACAAAATCAGACAAGTGTGTAGACATACGAGCAAGGATATTCTGCATAAAACTGCAATTTACAAAGCAGACAAAAATAGAATGTTGGATTGCTTATCGGTCCACAGATTGTAATTCAAGTTATCCACAGAAATAAAACATAGGTGCATATCTCAGAACCATCAACAATCATGGGGTGGATCTTTGTGTGCTGACAAAGAAAGTTACTCCCAATTTGTCAGTAAGAGGAGAGCATGGGCACAGTGCAGTATTTTGCACATTTAACTCTGTAAAAAACAAAGTAAAATTTCACATATAAACAAGAAAATTCTAGGAGGCTAAGTACCAATGGGTGATCTGCATTGTTTATTATTTTCCCATAATTGGTATGAGTTACTAACACTCGCCACCAAGCCTGATGACTTCAGTTCCAACCCCAGAATCCACATGGTGAGAGTATTAACTCCCAAACACTGTCCTCTGACCATCACACAGACGCTGTGGCAAAAATGTGCACATTCACCCTTATATACACACATTCACATTTGCAATAAATAAGCAAATAAATGTAAAGAGTGTTTGGGTTTTTTAAGTAGGTAATGTGGCTGGAGGACAAAGCTTAATTGGTAGAATGCTTGCCTAGCATTCATGAAGCCTCAACTTTTGTCTCCAGCACCATATAAAACCATCTGGATCTTATGGAGATATTTCCTCAATTGAGGTTCCCTCCTTTCAGATATCCCTAGCTTGTGTGGAGCTGATATAAAGCTAGCCAGCACAGATAGGAAGGGCTTATTTTGGCTTGTGGTTTGAAGGTATAGTCTATCATGTTGTGGAAGTTATAGTGGCAAGGGCTTGAGGCAGCTGGTGACATTGAATCCACAGTTAGGAAGTTGCTTTCTCCTTTTCATTCAGCCCAGGACGCCAGCCTGTAGGATGGTGCTGTGCACATTCAGGTTTGGTCTACCCACCCCAACTAGAGGCCTAGAAACACTGTCCTGCATGTACAGGAGGTGTCTCCTAGGTTATTTGAAACCCTATCAGGTCCACAGGGAAGACTCAACCACCACAGTAAGGTTCCTGTAATAGTAAAATCCATGGACATAGAGAGCAGGTTGGCAGTGGCTGGGGGCTGGGCCGGGACAAGGGAATGAGGAATAGGTGCTCAATATGGAAAGCATCAGCTGAGAAACATGGGAAGCTCTGGAGACAGAGATGCCAGGGGTGCATGGCTACACCATGGATGCACTTAATGCTACAAATTAGGAAGATGCTGCATCTGAACAGTGCCACTTATGCCTCCCCTCAGCGGTGGGAGGGGGCCCTGCCCCCACAGTAGGCACTGTACATTCACCTGGAAGCTTGCTAATGCTGCTTTCTGATCACCAGGTAATTTAGGGGTTGCATACTATTTAGCACAGAGACACATGGCACTCCAATATGTCTTTGACAATACATTTTTTTAAAGTACATCTTTGCTGAAGGGCTTCATGACAACATGGATCAGGAACTCTTTAGAAGCTTACCTCTGACTACAAATTCTACTTCTAGAATTTCTCCTATGTTAAGCAGCCAGGAAAAGTTGCAAACACAGCTGCCCATACGTGTCACAACACTGACTGCAGTCATGGAAATCTTGAAATAATCTCAACATCTCAAATAGGAGAATGGTTTGAAAGACCAGTTACAACAGAAAAGGTGATTTTCTCCATGTGATGTGTCCGTGCCATTCCACGTGTTAAGGTTTCATGTTGGTGATTACTGTGTTGTTGTCAGTGACTCAGACGTTTGTTTGCTTTGTCTGAATTTTCTCACTCTTTTCTAAAACAATGTGTATTCTTCTCTGTTCACATGAAATATTACCTTGTGGGTTTAGTTTGGATGTTTGATTTTTCTTGAGGGAGGGTCTCTCTTTACAACCCAGGCTGGTCTTGCTTGAACTTGTGGTCCTACCTCTGCCTCCAAGTGCTGGTATTAGGGGTGTGCACCACCTTGTCTGGCTTACAATATTATTTTTAGGCAACACAGGCCAGTCAAACCCAACTTTAAAAAATTGGAAGTTATTTGTGTGTGTGTGTGTGTGTGTGAGAGAGAGAGAGAGAGAGAGAGAGAGAGAGAGAGACTGAGGTTGATGTCAGGGGTCTCCTCAATACTATCTTCATTTTTTGAAACAGGATTTCTCACTGACACTGAATCTTTTTTTTAATTTAAATTAGAAACAATCTTACTTTACATATCAATCCCAGTTCCCTCTCCCTCCAATCCTCCCATGCTCCCCACCGACCCCCATCCCATCCCCTTTCTGCTCCCCAGGGAGGGTGAGGCATTCCATGGGGGATCTTCAAAGTCTGTCACATCATTTGGGGCAGGGCCTAGGCCCTCCCCCTTGTGTCTAGGCTGAGAGAGTATCTGAGGCATTCCATGGGGGATCTTCAAAGTCTGTCACATCATTTGGGGCAGGGCCTAGGCCCTCCCCCTTGTGTCTAGGCTGAGAGAGTATCCCTCGATGTGGAGTGGGCTCCGAAAGTCCATTCCTGTACTAGGGATAAATACTAATCCACTACCAGAGGCCCCATAGACTGCTCAGGTCTCCTAACTGACACCAATGTTCAAGGGGCCTGGTTTGGTTCTATGCTGGTTTCCCAGATGTCAGTCTGGGGTCCATGAGCTCCCCCTTGTTCAGGACTGACATTGAATCTTATCCATTAAGCTAAACTGGGTGGCCAATGAGCTTCAGAGATCTGCCTGTCTCCACCCCAACTATGGCTGGGATTACAGGCACAATGCCTAGTTTCTTACATGGATTCCATATATATGAATCCAGGACTTGGGCTTGTATAGCAGGCACTTTTACATCTGCCCCAATCCTCAAATGCATCTTTTATGATAATTGCAAAATAAGTTTTGATTAAAAAATAAAATCCAAATCCTGTTTGCAGAGACTCCTATCTCTGAGGTCTGCATGTGAGCAACAACATTCAAGTTTAGAAGAGTCTGTTTTCCCGCTGGCTCACCATGTCACAACAAGTCCCTCAATGTCACAATCCCAGGTGGCCCTTACCAGATAGGCTCTCCAGAAGGACTGGATGCTGATTGCAGCTTCTTCTTCTGTCAGTAGCAGGGAGAGAGGGATTGGTGGTCGAGGGCTGAAAAGCAATAAAATGGTCATAGGCCTGTGAGAATCCATCCTTCATCCTGCCAATGTCTTTGACAACATAATAGTCTGCCTGATTAAAAGCCTCACACATCCCCATTCTTAGAGGGTAAAAATGTCATTTTTGATGGAAGAGTGTATGCTTGAGTTAGCATTTCCTGTTAAGACCTGGGAATTTTCAAAATTGTTCACCTCTCTGTCTCTCTGTCTGGGGGGGGGATGGCATGTGTGGTATGTGTGCCCAAGTGTGCATATGTGCAAAACAGAAACTGACATCCAGTGTCTGCCCCTATTATGGTCCACTGTGTTTTTTGAATCGGGATCTTCAATTGAACTTGGAGCTTGGTTCAGCTGCCCAGGAGGCATGAGGTCTCATGTTTGCCCCCCTCACCTAGCTCTGGGGGTTACCCACTACCACACTTGGCTTTTTACATGGATGCTTGGGATCTGAACTCAGGTCCCTCAAGCCTTCACAGCAAGCACTGTACCAGCTGAGCCACTTCCCCAGGTCCAATCAGTGTGTGCTTTTTTTTTTTTTTTTTTTTTTTTTTTTTTTTTTTTTTTCAAGACAGGGTTTATCTGTGTGTAGCTTTGGAGCCTATCCTGGCACTCGCTCTGGAGACCAGGCTGGCCTCGAACTCACAGAGATCCGCCTGCTTCTGCCTCCCGAATGCTGGGATTAAAGGCGTGCGCCACTAACGCCTGGCCAGTGTGTGCTCTTAAATCAGGGCTAGTCCATTCTTCCTTTGAAGGACTCAGGTTACATATTGGTCTTGACGATGTAACATACATGCCATCAAGACAACTACACAGACACAGCACAAGAGACAGAACACCAACCTTTGTGGGTGACACTATAATTTAAGCATCACATGAACCAGCTTGGTAGGTTACACACACAACCCAACCACTTCAGAGGTGAAATGGGAAGATCATAAATTCAAGTCAACCTTGGCTACGTATCAACTTTGAGGCTATGTGAGACCTCTCAAAACAAAATCTGAGAGTAGTGGCAGGGGGTGGGGGTGCTCAGCAATGAGCACTAGCCAGCCTGGCATGCACAGGCCCTTTGGTTACACCTCCAGGACAGAAAAGAAAAAAAAAAGATGGAAGAAAGAAAGGGGGAAGGGGATGGATAGAGAACCTTGATACAGTATGTTTGGGTAATAAATGCTTTTAGATTATTCTAAAATAGAAGAAATCAAAGCCAGGAAGACAGTGTGGTTACTAAGACCCTGTCTAGGGGTATAGTGTCACAGCAGGCTCTGGTTTTCTGGCTGGCTGGATGTCCTCCAACGGAGAGATGAAACAGACATTTCTGCAGAGATAATCAGCCCCTGCAAATGCATCTTTGTGAGAACCTTTCCCTAATGTTCACTTTCCACTTTTAGCCCTATCAGACAGTCTTTTGTTTGTTTGCTGCTTCTGTTTTTGCCTCTTCTTGCCTAATAGCTGCTTTTCTGGCTGCAATGCTTTGCCTCTGGGGTGCCCTGCTGGCCACACACAGTGTCTGGCTCATCCATTCTTCCATTGTCTATATGCTAGAAATCAGTAGTTGATGTGTCACTATCACATCACATCCCTGAAGTGACTGACCCTTACTAGTTAAAATGGCTTCCAGAGACGTTGGCATTTCTAAGGAGACCTTTATGGCAGCAGTGAACTTAGGGAGTAACACTGTAATGTACCAACACCAGCTGATATTTACTGAGCATCTTCTGGCCCCCTGCTACCCAGGCCTGTTTCCAAGTTGACAGGGCCTTGCAGCTCCTCTGAAAAAGTGTCTCCAAAGCCCTAGGGTACCAGGATGTCTGTGCAGGTTGCTTTCTTCTCAAGGACACCCAGAAGAGGAGATGCAGGGACCTACATCCCAGTCTGTGATCTGCTTACTCATCCCTACTCCATGGTGTGGGGCCACACTTGCCCTAAGATGAGGATACTTTTCCTTCATTTGTTCCAATGTGCCTGAAGGCTGGTCAGCGCCAGACATCTTTTTTCCTGGTTCATTCTTAGGCATCTTCTACTCAAATAATATTTAAAACATCCTTTGATTAGATTGGGGTCTAGCTACTATTCTTCCTAGCTCCTGGCCCAATTTGGAAACAAATTTGTGTGATGAAAGTCCAAATCTACATGACAGGAAGTAGGTACACAGCCTGGTCTCATGTTTGCTCCTCTTGGTATTGGCACTTGGGACAACACAGGCATGCAACAGGCACTCAATAGCTGTGGAGGCAGTCCACTATGATCAGATATCCTGCAGAAACAACTTAGGGGAGGGAGGACTTATTTTGGCCCATGGTTTCAGAGGATTTCAGTCCCTCGTGGTGGGGACCATATAATGACGTTATTGGTCATGTGAGTGTGTGGTGGAGAGCCCTCATATCTAAGCTGCCTAGGAAACAGAAAGCTAGAATGAAATCTGGCCTAAATATGACTTTCCAAGTCCCTCCCCTGGTTACTTACTCTCACTAGTCAGGCCCTATCTCCTAAAGGTTCCAGAACCTTCCAAATAGCACCACAAGCATGGCACCCAGTATCCATAAGATGAACCTGGGGATACATTTCAGATTGAAACCTCAACAGTCTTGCTGTGTGCTAAGTGCTGTACTGCACATGGCTTCATAAAATCTTTACAACAGAAATGGGCTGGTTCGACCTTGTGTTTAGGGCTGAAAAGGCTGAGAGACAAGGTGAGGAGGAGGGTATGGTAAAGGGAACTCCTACTGCAAGCTGTCCAGAAGCAGGGAGTGACCAAAGAAGGGAAGAGACAGCTCGAAGGTCACTAACATTGAAGTAGGAGTCTAGCAGCTGATGGATGATAACTAGAAGAAAGCATGGCCACTTGCCTAGGCATTTTTTTTTTAAAGGAGGACAACCATAATCACAGAACACACTCTCCCCTGATCTTACAGTGACAATGTAGCGGACTGTCATCTGTCCCAATCTCCTCTGCAAAGTTCCATGTCAGGATGCTTTAACAAAGTAGAGTCTGTGGTTGGCCTCTGAGGGGAGATTTGGTGGTACCCTTCTTCTCAGTGGCAATCTTTCCTGCTGTAGTTATGTTTCTTGGTTCTGAAGTGGCAAATGTCAAAGTAACAGTGCTCCTATTGGGGACCAGAGGAAGGAAGAACTGCAAAGCTGAGGACACTGTGGCCAGGCCAACCCAACAAAGGGCCTTGTCCAGTAATGAGCCACTATGCATCTCAATGACATGTGCAAAAGACAAAATGAGATGTCTAATAGGCCTGGGAGGCAGTAACATGAGGCCACCTTTAGTGATGTCCCTGGCTTTCATGGCTAAATAATACAGTGCTGTCTCATTCCCATACAAGAGTACGTGCAAGCGAGCTGACATGTATCGGGCTCAATGAAAAGGATCCACTCTTGCAGAGAAGCGCCTGGGAATTATTTGCTTCAGTGGGCCAGCTTGAAAAGACAGATGCCATGCTGGGCCCTTCCCCGTCTTGGAATCAGTGCAGCTGGCCTCAGGTCAGATAAAAATAAAGGTGCAAGCCTCATCACCAAGATGCTAGGGACAAGAGAGATGAATGTGTCAATCACAGGAGAAGGCCGCTGCAGAGAGGCCCCTCCTGGCTGGAGCTGGACATCCCCAGGACAGGCATTCTATTGCTAAGTGTCTCCAAGACAACCTGCCTTACTAGAATGTGGACCAACAGGACTGCCCTCTTTCCCTCTTGACTGGGAATTAAACATCTTTGCACCCTAAGAATCAGTGCTGCAGTCTTGAGAGGAGCAGAAGCCAGTTTCCGGATAGTGTGTGTGTGTGTGTCGTGTGGATTTCAAAATGCATTCACATGCTTTCCCAGTTTTGGCTGCAAAGTAAAAGATTTGTGGGCAGAGAAGACATAGCATGCTTACAAACTGGGCAATGAGAACAGGGCCCGATAGCTGGCTCAGTGATTAAGAGTACTTGCTGTGCAATCACCAAAACAAACAAACAAACAAACAAAAAACACAACGAGAGTTCAGATCCCAGTGCCCACGCATCAAGCCCATGATCCTGAGCCAATCTCTGAGAGATCTGGCACTCTCTTCTGGTCCTCCTCTACACAGGTACATGCACCCGTGCCCCCCCCCCACACACACACACACATGCATACATTCACAGACAGACACACACTAAAAAGATCTGGGAAGGTAGTCATCGTACATTTCTCTATGCAGTTGTATGAATTACAGTCAGGTAGAAGGAAAGAAAACTTGCCCGGGGTTGAACATTACATTTAGATAACTTTATGCTCCTTTCATTAGGTAAAAGATGAACTGTTCTCTTGGAACATAGAAGCAGGAGTGATTCAGATAGAAATCTATTTCCAAAGATGTCACAGGCCGAGCTTGCATCAATTATCATAGAGTCTCTTAGTGGCCTAGGATTGGGTGCTATCCACCTACTGTATCTGGCAAGAGATGTGCCCCTCAACCTTAACTGCCTTATTCTCTTACACCCTATGTTGGGCACTTTCTGGGGGCAAGGGGTGCACTGTGTGTGGGTATGTGTAGAAGGCAGAGGCTGATGTCAGCTATCTGCCTCAATTACACTGATCCTGCTAGGCTGGCTGGCCAGTGAGCAGTGAGGAGCTCTGTCCCCACCTCCACAGCACTAGGACCACAGGAGTAAATAGCCAATGTCAGCATCCAGCCCTTTTCCTGGGCTAGAGATCTGAACTCAAGTCCTCCAGCTTGCACAGCAAGCATTTTACAGGTGGAGCCATCTCTCCAGCCCCTCAGTCTTGGCTTAGGAATGTTGGCCACCAGCAGAAGTCCAACAGACCCCAGACATATGGCTGACTACCACTTCAGACGGGATCTCACAGGATCCCTTAAGTTCCAGGATTCTGTGACATGATGAGTTTCTCCAGAGGTCCAGACAGAACTTCTGAGTGTATACTTCCAGCACTTTTAGAAGTCATGGTTAGTGGGCTGTGTTCGGGCTTTCGCCCCCTCACTAATCTCTGCCCCAGGAAATCA